TTCCCGGTCTGCAGAGGTCAGTACGTCAAACCACAAGGGCCAGCCATTGCTACCCACGTGCATCAATGAGCCTTGGCCGCCTAACAGACGAGCTACTGTAGCATATATATGTATGTATATATGTGTATATATTTATATATATATATATATATATCTTTTAACCATCTTCAAAATGTGGTTGTCTTTTCAACATAGACAAGCCTAGCACATAGCATATGTATCATATTATACAAATATTCTATACTGTATATGTAATATTTTAGTTTTTTTGTTGTGGCTCTGATTGGCTATCACTCATTGCTCATCACTTTATTGGTTTGGTTGGTTAGGTTTATGCATAAGGAGTGAGACAGGTCTATTCCATACAGGAAAGGAGAAAGTTTACAGAGGTTCTGACCAAAGCTTGCTCAACTGTTATTGCAGAACAGAGCAAACAGGGGTGGGATTTAGGAAGGGTCAAATGAGAGAAAGGTTTAACTTTATATGGTCCCCATTGCAGCATTTTGTAGATCTAGATCAGACCAGACATGCAAACCATACATGTGTACAACTGAGTGCAACACCACTGATGCCTGTGAGTACAAATTGTCCCAATTTGTGAAATTCTTTGTGCCTTATTACTCTCTATGACAGCAGGCTCTCATTCAGTACAGGTATAAACATTTTTGCGCTCTGGTTTGGTAGAATGAAACTTTGTACAAACCAGTTTGTACCCTTATTACAGTTTAATCATGAAAGAAATAGGGTTTATATTGGTGTCAAATTCTTCACATATTGTCTTATGTTAATGTGATTCTTTTCACAATCTTCTTGTATGCAAATGAGCTGAGACAGAGTGTACTTCACTTTTCTCTTGTTTGTTTCTTCATCTGTTCGTTTGATTGGTCTGCTGCCATACAGTGTTGTGCTCAATTGTTTCATCATTGTGAGACAGCACATAATCTGGCACTGTATAATTAATTACACTGTTGTATCTGCAGTGCTTTTGTTTATCTCTAACAAGTTGTGTTTGCATACTCAGAAGTAGTGATTCAGAGAGATGAAACCACAAACTGATAAGTAACTGGGTTTACAGTTAGTCACTTTTTTACAAGCAACATGGTGAATTGGTTATTTCTGTCATTGTGAAGCCCTCACTTGTCTGGTAGCCCCTGGAGGAGGTGCGTGGGCCCGTGCCTGTTCCAGATGGCTCTGCTGGTTCTTGCTAGGTCGAGGGCTGCCGTCCTTACTTAGGCCTCCTGCCTCAGCTATATCCACCCCACTGTCCTCACTCAGAGTCTGGCCACTGTCTGACAGCTGGGACAGGGTGGCTCCTGGATGGGACACTAGAATGTTAGTGTACAAAGAGACAATGCAAACAGCAACAAGGGTATCATCTGTTCTCGGATAGTGGCCTATGATATCACAACACATGTATTATAAACATACAGTTTATTTTTGTATGATCTCTATGTCTAAGACATCCCAATATATACAGCGAAGTGAATATTGTAGAACTTACAGGTAGCTACACACAACTGTATTTCTTGTATTTAGCTTTTTTATTTTTTATTCTCTATTTAATTTCTTATTTAATTTTGATTTATTTCATTCGAAATTGTATCTGTTCTCTTACTTCCTAGACTGTCTCTGTGCAGTCTTATCATATCTTAACTTGGTACTGTTCAGTCACTCTAGACTAGTGGTCCAACATCGGTGTCAGTCAAAATGTGCAAGAGCAAAGTTATACACAGAATAATAGGCAACACATAATCCAACAAAGCAGCTAACTAGGATGCTATGGAATGTAAAAAAAAAAGTTTATTTTCTAAACTAACACTGGCAGGAAATATTAGAAAGGACGTCTTTTCTGATATTTTTTGCCATGCTTGAGATTTTTTGCTTAGGTCTTATTAAGATCAGAGAGTTACATTACACAAACAATTCAGAGATTAATAACAATTTACATTCCCTTATTCACCTCTACAGTAAAATTGTTGCAGCCATAACTTCAGAATCAGAATTCCATTGTTTGTGTTTAAGTCAAGTTAAATTTAGTTTAACTTTGGTGGCAAAACCTGGCAAAAACGTAAAGGTCCAGTGTGTAACATTTAAGATAATCTACTGTCAGAAATGTAATATTATATTCATAGGTATGTTTTCATTAATGCATAATCACTTGACTATAGGAATCCCTGGATTTTCATTACCTTAGAATGAGAATGAGAATGAGTTTCACAGCCACTGTAGTTTCTTCTCATTCCCAGGTCATCAAATACAGCAGAGCAATGTTCAGTTAATTGCAAACTGCAACTTCACCGCTAGATGACACAAAATCCTACCCACTGGTCCTTTAATGTATTAAGCGCCACGATAACTAATGCAGCTGCTCTGTCCATTGGAAACAATGGCCTTACTCTGCACAATGTCAGACGTGCACTTTTGGTTTGAAAGCCCTGTGGCCTGTTGCCATGTAACCACAAAGATTCCACCCCAGATTCAGACCTGTATTTGATGTCGTCCCCCACTCTCTGCCAGTGTTTCCTGTATGTCTCTGTACTGTCTACTATTAAATAAACAGCAAAATTACAAAAAAAAATTCTTGATAAGCTTTTAATGTGAAACATCTGCAGGCAGTGTTGAGTTTCAATAAAACTAATTTAACATTGATTTAAAGACGGCAACTTGGAAGTTTGGAATCAATTTGTTAATGATATTATTTGTTAAAAGGAACAATGTACATTATGCAGAATTTATTATCAGAGTGATGACGTATAAGTAAGTACACATCGCTCCATGTTTTCTGCACTGTGTATAAGTAATACCCCCCCATTATTATTTAACATTTTGAGACTTTAAACATGGGCTTTTATCTGAGAATTCATACCAGCAGTACATCAATAACACAGCTGCCAGATGGAAATTTCTTTTCCTATATGGCAATGCTGTTCTGGCTATTGGTAACAAATTATGATAATAGAAATTATAATTATAATATTTTGCCCAATAATTTGATCTTGTATGTCAAGGCATACATGAGATGTATTTTTGCACAGGAAGACAACACACAGTCATGGACGGTGTACCTCTCTGCTGTGGTCTGGAGTCTGCAGACAGACGGTTCATGTCTGTTATGATGACTTTCTGGGCGAGAGCAGGTGAGCAGGGCCGGTCAGGACTACAAGGTGGAGCAGCAGGTGTAATGAGAGAGGGGCAGGGGGAGGGGCATGGTGAGGGACGGGGTGATGGATGAGGGGATGCCATGGGAGATGCTGCTTTGGAGGAGGACGCAGACTTTGACAAGATGGAGGACTTCTCATATGAGCTGGATCGGGAAGAGAGCTTGACAGACGCTTCTGGCTTAGCCGAGCTGGACGAGTCCCGGTGGTGCAGGAAGCCTGGGCAGGTGTGGTGTCCTGAACTGGGCCGGCTGTGGTGAGCGGCATGGTGGTGGAAGTGATGTGCAAAATGGGGGTGGTTGTGGTGTTCAGAGTCAGAGAGCTGGAGGGAACTCTGGCAGGTGTGATGGAGTGCATTGAGGGACGTGTGGTGGCTGGCACCAGTGCAAGTGCGGTGGGCCGAGGCTGGTGAGGGCTGGTGGATGGTGGGGAGGGATTTGAGCGACTTGTTGAGGCAGTCCTGGAGAAGCCGGGTGGGGCCAGTGAAGAGCAGGCTGGAGCCAGGCTGCACCAGCCGTGCTGAGGGCTTCCGGTTGAGCTCTTTCTCCCTGGACGGCCTGCTCTGAGCAGCCCTGAAGGGTGGAGGAGATTCACCTGAAGCCTGCATTTCACCCTGCCGATGAAAAAGAATGCAATAGTATATGAATACTGTATGAATGGTGCTGCTCCTCTCTGTGAGGGGTATTCATTGGTCGCAATCTGCAACTTCACTGCTAGATGACACTAAACCCTACACACTGGTAATTTAAATTATAATCCTTCAGATTTCTAATTAAAAGTCGTCTTTTCAAATGAAAAGCCCTCTAGCATTTCATACACTCTTATTTCTGAGAGTGAGATCAGAAGCATGTAGCTTGTTGGTGATGGGGACAAAATTTTAAAAAACTACCAGTTGCATGCACCAATACTCATAAACATGATTTTGGGTTACGAGGCCAAAGGAAGGTTAGACATTGTTAGTTATTTTGGTCAATTTGTCCACTGACCTCACACTGGTTCAGAGCAACCTTGACCTCTTGTCTACTGCTACCATGAAATTGCATTTCCTAAATCTACAAGCTAATCTTTTTGACCACCTGACCCTGCATTATCAAAAATAAAAAAAAAAATCTACTTCCACATTCACAATTTAAGATTCCAGTAAAATTCACAAAGCACATCTATGCTCCCCAAAGGATGAACTCTGTCAATTAGCTCCACTCCATTAGCTCTCATCTGCTGCCTCCCCCTGGCTTAAAAGTTACAACTGATATCTAATGAATTTATAGTCAAATTGCCATGAAATGTGCCGAGCAGAGCCATGCTCCTAAGGGGATAAAATCTCGATTTTAATGACTATGGCCTTACTCAGAGTCACCCTCAGTGCAGGCTTCACATTTTAGCCCCAGTGCAGTGTTCATAATCCTACACTACACTAAAGGGGGTTTCAACTTTAAGTCTTGTTATGTTAATCCAATCTGTCCTCTGGAAATATAGGCGCACTTCTATCTCCATTTTTAAACCAAATCTGATGCCCGAGGTATGTGGTGTTAAAATGGACAAACACGGAAACCCATTCAAAGCTGTTTTTCTTGCATCTGAGTCTGTTTTATATGCAGATGAAATAAAGAATGACACATACCAGTGCAATGTTTTGTAAGGCATTAGTGTTCTCCTCCTGGTATTTTTCTGTCCAAGCACTAACAGAGCCATCGGTCTGAAAGAAACAATATGAAGCATTGTAGTACTGCAGGGATAAATCTGTAATAGAAAATTGCTATAGTTTCATTTAGCCTACTTAATGCAGATGCCAGATGGATGGGATCTGCCCCACAGGACAACATAATGAGAACAAGAAAGTTTAGACAGTTATCACAAAGTTTTTTTTTTTTCTGGAACGGCTGAATCATCTGAGGCCGTTTGAGGCTGGAGGCTTTATTGTGTCATTGCTACAGAGCAGTGGTTCTCGGAGCGGGATTCAGGGAGCTCCAGGAAACCTTAAAGGGGGTCCAGTTCAAAAATACCTTTTCTGTTTCTGTGTGCAAATTAGCCCAGAGAAAGAATGTGTTATAATAAGAGTGGAATAAAACTATTAGTTATATAGCTGACAACAAATAAAATACACAGATCAATTTTAAGCAATGAAAGATGAAAACAGAAAAATAAATAAAGGAGAAACAAACTATTTTTGTTTCAGACTGAATAAAATCATTTTGACATCTCACAGCAGGAGAAGCACTGGTGTAAATAATAAGCTGACTAATGGTTGAATTCCACTTAGTTGCTTCAGGCCCCCCTGGCTCACTGTCATGGCTTGGGACACTTCAATAGAACGGAGCGGTTGTATATGCTATCAGTAACGCCTGTGTTTTTCCTACAATGACAAATCAAAATGTCTGCTGGGAAAATGAGAATGTGAAGTGGACTCAGACTTATTTAAATTTTACAGACAATGATTCATCCTAAACAGGTTGATAAAATAAAAAACTGGGTCTTTCAATGTAAATGTTGTGTCCTGATTGGAGCTAATTTCTAATGCAAAGTGAAATGCACTTTTTGTTTTCCATTTTTATTTCATGCACATCCCCAAATACCCCCCCCCC